TGATACACTTCCCGCGGTATCTACATGAAATGGTTGGGCGAGTGCATAACATGCAATTTGAAAAGAACGCGCAAATTCACGAGACACAAAAGAATCTGAGGCACCAGAATCAAATAAGATGTGAGCAGGTCTAGAATTGACGAGAAATGTACCAGTCACAACATTCGGGTCCTCGCGTGCCTCCTCTGGGGTAATCTGGAATGCACGGCCTTTAGCCTTTGGCACATCCTCCTTTTGGGTTGAAGTACCCACTGGTTGTTGAACGGAAGCTTGACTTCTCACCATTTGGCTGGTAAGAGTAGGGCAGAAACGCTTTCTGTGGCCAGTAACACCGCAAGCATAACATGTAACATTCCTCATCGGGCAAACGGGCTTCATATGACCTGTTTCTCCGCATCCATAGCAAATCACTGGTCCTTTTCCTACCCTGCATTGACCTTGGTGGCTCTTTCCACATTTCTGGCATGGTGGTGGAGCTCTCGACTGAAGAGAAAAAGATTGTGGCCGACCGCGACCACGAAAGGCGCTCTGAGATTGTACTTTTGTGCTAAGATCAGATTGAGCAGATCGACCCAATGGATTAGTTGAAACAGAAACAGTTCGATCAACACGTGGATGCTTCGGGATAGAAAGAGTGGCACCACGTATCTCTAAGTCATGCTCGCGCTTTCGGGCATACTCAACAGCTTTATCGAATGATAGAATATCCCGATTGATCACGAAATCACGGATTTCATACCGTAACCCTTCCATGAATAACTGACTTTTATCGTCTTCAGTCGGGATATACTTCGCAGCAAACCGTGCCTTTTGATTGAATTGAGTTTCATATTCGGTCACAGTCATTCCTCCTTGCTTAAGTTCGAGGAACTCCTTCTCCAGTCTTCTCCTCATATCTAGAGGACAATATTTTCCTAGAAAGCGGATTTTAAACATCTCCCAAGATAAATTCTCCTGGTCATACTCGTTAAGAGCTTCAAATGTCGCTTCCCACCAGACTAAGGCTTCTCCAATGAGCATTGCAGAAGCATAGTTAACCTTGTCTTCATTAACCACATGGGAGATACGAAATACTTTTTCTGTGTTCTGGATCCAGGTAAGAACAACAATGGGATCAAGGACACCTGAAAACTCTGTAGCACCACTACTCTTGAAAGTTTTGAATGAGGGACGTTTCGCTTTCTCTCTTGAAGACTCTCCGGTGGCTTTCTCTTTACCCTTATCACTATCCCTTTTGTGTTGTTCGAGAGTTTGTCGAATAACACCAGTAAGTTTATCCAAAAGCCGCTCCTCACGAGGGGATATTGGAGTATCTCCCTCATTAAGATGAAGATCTCCACCCACATCTGGTGTATGACTACCCTCCTGCTCAGCCATTGCTCTGAAAAATTGGAGTAACATAACACGTAAGAATATAAGGATTTATCATTACCCAACACCCCACTTAAGTCTTTCCTATGGTTTGTATCCATATACGGACAATAAATCTGTTCATATATTGAACTTCCAACAGTTTAAGTCTAAATACCAATTCGTGGTATTTAGTTCGCTTAAACCAGTGCTCTGATACCATAATTGTAAGACCCCATTCACTAAAATTACCATAAAGCCAAACATGCTACATGCATATTCATAATTATAATTCACACTAGTGGTCTAAATACAAAAGCATGGATACAAACCAACTAAAAGGGTTTTTACAAAGTTTCATAACTAGTTGTATAAATACATAACTACCCAGGAATTTATAATCCATATACATATATGTATACCAAGTAAAAACGTAGTAGTGTCAACTACTCTAAGTCCTCCAACAAAGCGTGTTTACTCTGGATGCTTATCACCTGAAATAGTTAAACACTAAAAGGGATAAGTGGGCGTCACTTAGTGAGTTCAAAAATAGATACAATATAACGCTATGCCATATACATAACAATATGACAGGAACAAAAAGAAACAAAGGACAACAAAGGCTTATATGTGTATCAAATGAAGGACTTTCCAAATCAATAAACGGTTAGATTCAAGGATTACAATAATTAAGACACAATAATTTAGGATCATAAGCATCATAAATTCCAGCCCAAGAGGCACATAAAACACAATCCCTTTTAATCATGTTGCTAGAATATACAGGCTTTCAGCCCTACCTAGCCCGAAGCCAATACCAAAGTGATACGAGTCATGCTCTACATGGTCAAAGGCACAAAGCCAATACCAAAGTGATACGAGTCATGCTCTACATGGCCAAAGGCATCAAAATCAATATCAAGTAATAACCACTTAGATCAATAACACAAGAAAGCACATTGCACATATAACACATAACATACAATTGTCCCTATATTGAACTCACTGTGCTGTAACCGAATGTTGCGATAAAATTCCTCTTTTTCTGATGAAATTACACCATCCTCAGGCCTCTAAAACCTTCAATTATACCCCTGGAGTTCATATTTCAAATTTCATAAGCAATTACTCAACTACTCTCAAGTTATGTTGTTTTCAATTTAGAAATTTTAGTTTTTGTTCTTTGTATAGCTGTCACTTGCAGATCTGTTTTACCCTTATTAAATGTCAAAATAACTAATAAATTATACATATTAATAAAATAGACTCTTATATCTTTCTAATGCCACTGACCTCACATTTTTATGATTTTTCTATAATTTACTATGAATTTTACAAAACAGCATCCTAAAGCTGTCAAAATGTTCCAAAGCTGTCAAAATTCAGCCTTACTGCACTGAACATATAGCTGTTTTCACCCCTTTTAAGTCCGGAATTAGATTTTGGTTTTAAAACAAAAATCAAAGTAGACATTCTCAGCTTTCCAGGGATATATAGCACATCTCCATACGATTTTTCTATAATTTTTGGTGATTTTTACAAAAACAGGACAATTATACCCTTTATAATTTCATTTTACCCTTTACATGATCAAACCTCATGATCAATATCACCAAGTTCTTCTTTTACAATGATAACACTGAATATTTTAGTAATCCATTCTAATTCAAGTATAAACCATGGGTTTCATTATTAATTTTCACTAATTACTCTTAAACCATATGATTAATTCTCAAGTTTACATGTAGTTACTTGATTTCCATTTAAGATTCTAGGTTAATAACATAAACTCATGCCTAATTTCATTAAATCAGTGGTAAACCCACTTTGATCAAACCCTAATCTCTTAATAACTCACTAATTACAAGGGTTAATCCAAAAATTAAGAGTTCATACCTTGATTACTAGACTTGATACTTCAAGAACACTCAAAATCTTGATTTAATCTTCAAAACTTGATCAAGATTGATCATGTATGTGAAAATCTCCCATAGGGATGGTGACGAACTGAAAATGGCAGGAAAATGACTCAAAATCGTGTTTCAATGGGTAAAAACCCGAGTTGGGTCGGGTTTGACCCGGTTTGGGTACCCGTTTTACCCCTAAACACTAAAAATTGCATAACTTTTCGCTCGAAACTCCGTTTTCGATGAGGTTTTCGCCTGTACGTTTCTAACGAGATAATTTACAACTTCCAATAAAAATATCCCAGAAAAGATCTTCCAATAAAATCAGATTTAATTATTTTTAACTTAGACGTTATACTTTCGTTAATTCCGATAGTTGACTTTTTGATCGGAATCACATAAGACTTCCCTATCACCTCTAATACATTCCAAATGATTCTAAACTTAGTTTAACTTCAAATATTATAAACCTATTTCGTTAGAAATCAACGCTTAAAACCATACCAAAAATAATATATATATATATTTTTTTTTAAACGCTTACAATTCTATTTTACTATAACTACCTACTTTAAACGTTTAAAACAACATAATATATAATAATATTCATTTTTAAACTAACAATCATATGAAACATGATAATTAAACAAGGTTACTAAAGTGTATGTTACACATGGCATAAAGGTGCCAACTCTATGGCCATGAGAGCCCCATGCATCTTGTAGGTCTCATTTTTGGTCCTTTTGAACTTAAA